GGTGCCTGAACAGGAACCTGAAAGTGCTTCTGGAAGAGCAAAGGTGAACTAATGACAGTGGTTGCTGCCCTACCTAAGGAGGTAATTAGGAATTTAGAATATTACAGGGTGATGGGGCAATGACAATCTTGTGTGGCTACTTTTGCTGTTTTACTGCACCTTTTTTTAAGAGAATATGGTATTAAGATTTCTAAAAGCAGAACAGAAAACTGCTTGGAATAAGTTATAGAATATAATCCCTGGTTTCCGAATGAGGGAATTATCGATGAAGAAAACTGGGTCAGGATTAAAAATAATGTTCAGGGGAGCTCTGGTGGCCTAGTGGCAAGAAGCTGCACTGCAATCCCAGAGGCGCATCGTTTGAATCCACCAGATGCTCTGCTGGGGAAGGAAGGACAATCTCCTCCTGTACCAGTCAGATCTGATTTGACGGTACACTCACACACAAATAATAATAAAAATGTTCAAAAAGCAATGACACAAGAACAGATTCCTATTGATTCCTGGCTCGTATTGGAAGGAGTCACATCCACTTTCTAAATAATAAGCCTCAGAAACTATGAATTTTGACAAATGTCAATGGTAGGAGGGCTTCAGTCCTCTTGTCCATGAAGTCATTATGAGTCATGCTTGAGTAGAAGGCAATCTACAACAAGACTGTACTCCTAATCCAGGAAATGTGAAAAGAGAGAAGACTGAATGTATACATAAATATGAATTGAATGATACTATATTGGAGAAGATTAAAGCTGAAAGTGAGAAACTGATAACAAGAAAGTGAAACTAATTCAAAGCAAACATATCTGCTGCCACCCCCTGCTACAAAATGGGTCAGAGGAAAATGTACAAACTGAATTTGAGGAGCTTTCTGTTGGCCAGAGGCAGCAGCCTTTGTCACCTTTAAAAAGAGCGTCAGGAAGACATCATCCAGAATTATTATTAAACTTTTGTATTTTAAGGCAAGGGCAGCAAATTGAACATCATACTATAAATCTAAATACTCTTAAGGAGCCTCAAAAGGCATGCTCTGCATATGGACCTAGTGCTTCACATACTGTGCAAATTTTCATTCACGGCCAACTGCAGAAGTACGAATTCCATCGAAGTGGACAATGGCTGAAAAATCATGTCTCTCTCCACAAAAGTTTTTACAATGCCACACGTAGGACTCAAAAGCAGCACAATTAAAAGCTCACGGTCACTGAACTGTATCAGGTATGCAATATATGAAATATGGTGACAGGAACTGGACCTTTTAATGATTAAGGCTATCAATTAGCACCTACTTATGGACTTGAGAAAGCTCCTACTCTAAGATGAGAAGGCCAAGTGCTGGCACATGGGGAAGGGGAAGGTACAGAATCAGTTCTATAAGGTACAAAGTACACAACTTTTTCCTATTTAGGTACACGTATTGATAGGACTACAGTTAAAGCTCAATGAATGCAAATTCGTAGAGGCAATTTACTTAAATGACTTTCAGAAAGTGCTTTGAAATGGAAATTGACATAGGCCTTTTTTAGGTATTCCTACTTATGAGTTGCAACATTTATTAAATACATGAAATGGTGATGCTGCCTTAGTTAACAATTTACACGTCAAGTTGAGAAGGAATTGCCGTTTGTTGAAGCTCAATTAAATAAGCTTTTGTAACTCGATTTAAACCAGAACTGTCATTGTCTCTTCAAATTTGACCTATTCCTATTTCTCCCACTGGAGTCTTAGCCCAAGAAGACAAACCTTTCAAATAGGAACATTATAAGAATACAGCCTCTTCTGTTATGACAGATATAATGAGGATTATAGCACCAGTTGTTACACAAGGGAGAAAGCGATGTATTTAAGCTTTTGGAAAAGAGCCTGATATTAGTATTTTACCCATTCGAAAGAAAGAATTTTCACAAGCTTCTCTTTAATCTTTTAATTTACAATTGGCACTAGAAGATTAACCTGGTAAAACAGGGTATTGTCATCCTGCAGGAAAATGGTGGAATTTTTTTAAAAAAGTACTTCAGTATGTATTGAGGCTCAATGTCAAGAAGACCAAGTTCTCACCACTGGACCACAGGATGGATGGTGAAGAGATTGAGACTGTTAACAACTTTAGTCGGCTTGGCTCCACAGTCAACACTGTTGGCACCAGAAGCCAGGAAATTAAAAAAACGTATTGCGATGGGAAAGTCTGCTGTCAGGGACCTCTCCAGGGCACTGAAGCGCAATGGTGTCATTCTGGAGACTAAGGTGCAGCTGACAGAGGCTATGGTCTTTGCAATCACTTGTTATGCATCAGAGAGTTAGACAGTGACATGGAGAACTGAAGAATTGATGCCTTTGAGCTATGGTGCTGGAGAAGACTACTGAATGGACTATGAACTGCCAAGAAAACAGACAGATTCATCCTGGAGAGGGTTAAACCAGGCTGCTCCTTGGAGGCAAGCATTCTGGGGCTTCGTCTGACATACTATGGACATGTTTTAAGGAGGGAGAGGTCCTTGGAGAGGGACATCATGCTTGGGAAGGTGGAGGGACAGCGCAGAAGGGGAAGGCCCTCTATGAGGTGGACTGATTCAGTGACTAGGATAATTGGGATGGGAGTGTCAGAAACAGTGCAATTGGCACAGGACAGAGCAGGGTTTAGGACTTTTGTACATAGGGTCGCTATGAGTCGCAAGCGACTCAACGACACATAACAACAACAACTTCCTAGGCAACAGGAAAAATAGCTTAAAAGGATCCTATTCCAAATACTGACTTTGTTTAATTGTTGGGGCCAGTGCGGGAAAAGCAACTATTTGGGGTAAAAAAAATTATCTATGCAAACTGTTTACAAGTCTGCCCAACAAGTTAAATTTCCCGCATTTCTTAAATTATGTCTTGTTCAAGAAAATATGAATACTGTTTTGGATTTCTGTTATGTAGTAAACCTATTGCCAGTATTAGAAACTGGGATGACTTGTTTCTCCCATGTTATTTTACAACCTACACTTTCTAGAACACAAAAGCTGTTACAACAGAGAATACGTAGCACTTTTTCACACCTATTTGTGCTCATTATTATCTTCCTGGACTACTGGTGGAAGGAAACAAATAAGTGAAAATTTTAACTCAAGCTATTTTGGACATTGACAATTTCATAGTAATGCTCAACGGCTTCATGTGCTCTATGGAATGCCTCTAAAAAGATGCAAAAAAGGTTGTTTCCTCTTGTCCACCTTGTACTCTTTTAAAATCAAGACAGCAGCAAATAGGTGCAAATCCCCAAGGACCAAAGCCTAAGAGAGTTGGCAAATGGAAGTAACACATATGCCCACCTTGTAGAAAGGGGTTTACTTACATGTTATACTAGACACTTTTTCCAGGATTTATTTGTGCTGCTCTCATGACTAGCGAACATGGTGCTATAGTTATTTTGCATTTGTTGCATGGTTTTGCTCTGAAGGGCGTTCCCAAGCAACTTAAAACTGATAACGGACCTGGTTATACTAGTAAAAAATGTGCTTCATTTTGTTCTGAATGGTATATATATGATATTCCTGGAATACCTTATAATCCTCAAGGGAAAGCAATTGTAGAAGGTACTCATCGTATATTAAAAGTTCCATTTACTGGCATTGCAGACGCCTCCGCGCTCTGCAGCCATGGTCAATCCCACCATAAACTTTGACTTCAACATGGATGGTGAACCTTTATGCCTTGTTTCCTTAGAGCTGTTTGCACACAAAGTCCAAAAGACAGCAGAAAACTTCTATGCTTTTAGTACTGGGGAGAAAGGATTTGGTTACATGAGCTCCTGCTTCCACAAAATCCATTCCTGGGTTCATGTGTCAGGGTAGAGACTTCACACGCCATAATGGTACCGGTGGCACGTCCATTGACAGGCAGATGTTTGATGATGAGAACTTCACCCTGAAGAACACAGGTCCTGGCCTCCTGTCCATGGCAAACGCTGGACCCAATACAAAGGGTTCCCAGTTTTTTTGATCTGTACTGCGAAGAATGAATGGTTGGAGGGCAAGGAGTTGATAGAAGGCATGAACACTGTGGAAGCCATGCAGTGCTTCAGGTCCAGGCCAGCAGGAAGATCACCACTGCTGACAGTGGACAACTCAAATTATGACCTGTATTTTATATTTTCTCTTCATCGCGAGATTATTTCTCCTATAACTTAAGAGATCAGCCTGCTACTCCACATCCTTGTAGTACCTTTTAATCTTTGTGCTCCTGCTACAGTTCTTTGGGTTCCATGTTTTCCTTATTCCTCTCCAAGGTTAGCAGGCTTGTGGAGTTAAACTTCAGACTATGAAATAAAAACTAGACAACAACAACAACAACAACTACAAAATAGTTCCATTTAATAAACATTTACAAAAGTAAAAAGGGGGAATCACTCCTCCTGAACAGAGGGGTATATTAAACATGCCTTAATTTTAAATTTTTCAGTGGTAGATCATCCTTATCTGCCAGCCAACAACCTCACCCAAATGGAGCCAGCAAAGTCCCTTCCTGAACAACAAGAGTCCTTATCCACCTTCCCAGGTGACATCAAAAGTGAACGTTGCATTTGCTGTGATGGAGATGAGCTGACCACTCATGGGGATTTTAAGGGTAAGAAACTGCTATGGAAATGTCACACTTTTCAGTGGAAGCCTCAACTGGTTTCTACTGAATCACAGTTCAGCAGACAAGGAAAACTTTCCCTGGTCAAAACATTCCTAAGGTCTCTCTCCTCTGTGAATTCTTCTATGTGCAATGAGACCACTTGTGTAAAGGTTTCCTCCATTACTGACATTCCTAAGGTTTCTCTCCTGTGTGAACTCTTACGTCTGCAGAAGGTGGGTGCGTCAGTACAGCTTTTCACACATTCCTTACATTCACCATCTCTCTCCTGTTAGAATTCTTCTGTTCAATTGGAATGCTTGATCCTGAAGGTTTTCCCACACTCCTTCTGTTTGTAAGGTCCCTCTATTCTGTGTGAATTCTTCTATGAGCAGCAAGATTACTTGACTGTGTAAAGGTTTTCCCACATTCGGTACATTCATAGGGTCTCTCACCTGTGTGAATTCTCTTATGTCGATGAAGACAGGACATGTTATTAAAGGTTTTCCCACATGCCTCGCATTCGTAAGGTCTCTCTCCCGAGTGAATTCTTCTATGTTTATGGAGGGCATACGTGTGAAAAAAGGCTTTGTCACATGCATCACATTTATAGGTCCTTTCTCCCGAGTGTGTTTTTCCATGCATCTGCAGCAGACTGGATCGTGAAAATGCTTTGCCACACTCCTTACATTCATAAGGTCTCATGCCTGTGTGAACTGTTCTATGCAGAGTGAAGTGACTCGATCGCGTGAAGGTTTTCCCACACTCCTGACATACATAAGGTCTCTCTCCTGTGTGAATTCTTTTATGTTGAAGGAGGGTGTTGCTGTCACGAAAAGCTTTCCCACACTCCTGGCATTCATACGGTTTCTCTCCCGTGTGAATTCTTCTGTGTTTAGTGAGGACACTTAGTCGTGAAAACGTTTTCCCACATTCCTTACACTCATAGGGTCTCTCTCCTGTGTGAGTTCTGAGGTGTTTAGTGAGGACACCTGAGTGTGAAAATGTTTTCCCACATTCCTTACATGCATAAGGTCTCTCTCCCGTGTGAATTCTATGATGGATAACAAGAATGCTCAATTTGGAAAATGTTTTCCCACATTCCACACATTCATAGGGTCTCTCTCCTGTGTGAATCCTTCTACGTGTAGTAAGGTGATCTGGCGGTGAGAAAGTTTTCCCAGATTCCCCACATGCATAAAGCCTCTCTCCTGTGTGAATTCTTTTATGTTCAGGGAGGTGTTTCAAGAGTGTCAAGGTTTCTCCACCCTCCTCACATTTGTTGCATGTCTTAGGTCTCTCTCCTGTATAAATTCTTTGGTGAGTCAAGAAGGAATCATAGTGCAGGAAGGTTTTCCCACATTCCTTGCATAAATAAGGTCTCTCTTTGGTGTGAGTTTTTCTATGTGTAATGAGGGTGTGATTGTTGGCAAAGGATTGCCCACATTCCCTGCATTCGTAAGGTCGCTCTCCTGTGTGGATTCTTCGATGTTGGATGAGGGTGCTGCCGTCACGAAAAGCTTTCGCACATTCACTGCATTTATGAGGTCTCTCTCCTGTGTGACTAGGGGATTCCTTACATTTAGAAGGGTTCTCGTTGGTGGGAATTTCTGTACGTGTCACGAGGGTGCTACTATCATGAAAGGTTGTACCACCTTCCTTACCTGCACTAGTTTTCACACTTGTGTGAATATGGGCATGTGCGCTGAGCTGTGAGGAAGAAGTGAAGACTTTCTCACATTGGCTACATTTATAAGTCCTCTCTTCAATACAAATTCTTCCGGGAAGCTGAAGGTCTGATGGATTACTGCAGGATGAAGAATCACGGAAGTGTTTTCCATACTCCTTACGTGCATTAGGTTTCTCTGGAATTTTAACTACGTTAGGAAGTACACATGAAGTGGGGTGAGTCTCAGTTTCAGAAAGTTCTGTTCGTTCATGCGTCTCATCTATAGCATGGATCCAAAACGATGAAAAGGAACAGAAATATCTTCTGCATGTGCTACACTCATAGCCTGTCTCTCCAACGCGAGTTCTCAAAAGGTTCCTGCCGAAAAGGCCGCTCTGGAGTTCGGCACGATCTGGACTCTGGATGGTGAGTTTTCCGGGGTGATGGTCCTCAGTCCCTTCCCCACAGATGTCTGCTGTCTCAGTTCTGATAAACACAGACAACAAGCAGTTGAATACAAACGTGATGCCTTTTTCTCATATAGGAAAACACAGCGGGTAAAAACCCAAAACCACCACCCGACAACGATGATAAATGCTTTCTGTAATACCATGTCTAAAATCCATAAGCTAGCAGAAAGATTCTCACGACAACTGGATAGATAAAGCATACGGTTTTCAAAAAGAGCTAGACCCAAAGCGAACGTGTTTGTAATTTGTTCAAGATCTACTAGTATGAACTTTACGATTCCAAATTACTTTCTTAGACACTGAATTCAATCTTCACTTCTTAATGGGCAAAAATCTGCAAGTAGGACATGTTAGCCTACAAGGGGACTGGACTGTGTACGCAATCCACAAGAGGACTGGTTCCACTCCATTAAATGGAGAGAGTCAGCATCAGATGATGATCTTCGTCCTGGCCAGCGAAAAAGAAGAAAAAGGAAAACGTACCATGTCTGTCAGGCCCAGAAACTCTGTTTCAAATGAGAAACAACAGCAACCAGCAGCCACAGCCTAGCCAATGTGAGATGGAGTTACCCTACAATTACTACCAATGAAAGACAGATGCAGAGCTAAGCGGAAAGCTTTGCCCAAATCTGCTGGACTACAGAGGGGCTGAGGAGGACGGAAGCCAATAGTGGCAGGACTGAGAACTTTAAAACACTAGCCTTAGCCACAAACCTTAAGGCTGAGCTGCATGTGAGCACATTTAATAGCTGTCCCACTAGAAAAAAAGACTTATATAACCTTTTAACTTGCCAACTACAGTTCTGCGGGATGTATACTGCATTCAATTATGGACCCACTAAAGCAACGAAAGTGGTTGTGGGACGAGCAGGAGGACGTGCAGGGACCATGTCTGATGCTGATGGTTTTCTGTTGCAAATATTGTACCCGGGTCAATAACCGCTGTAAATCTGATCAAGGTTGGATACAGCCATCCCGTGGAACCCTTGCTCATGTTACAGCTGGTCCAAAAAATGTTTTTTCAAGGTCAAATCCACACAGCTCTTCCTTGCTATATATACAATTTATGAACTAGGACACAGGACTGATTTAGCTGTTCTAAGAGCAAAGCCCTCAGCAGAATGTGCCTCTTACCTCAGACAGTCCCCTTGTTTTTGCTGCAGCTCTTCTTTGCCACACAACGCGGTCATTTCTCTTAACAAGCAGGGCCAGGGATGGATGGTTTTTAGAAATTGCATCAGCGTACATTCAGTTGATAAGGCCGGTCTGTCCCTGACGTTCTGAACACCTGACACGAAAACTGAAGCACATGAAAGAACGTGAAACCGGCGCAGAGATACGGGAGAGAAAATTGGGTCTCAAGGAAACACAGAGGGAGTTCTATGTTCCTGAGCCACAACTCTGGTGAAAAAATTAAAAACGATTCACTTGGTCCCACCTCGGGGAGAAATGACAAAGAGGATGATATAAATGGGTTTCCACAGAGGCGTCAACAAGGAATATGATGCATACTTCACACACAAGCCATTTAAAAAATAGAGAAAACTGGTCCCTGTGAGATGATGTCTGAAACAGACATGCTCGGTGCTTCTTCAGCAACAGCCTCAACACAAATGATTATGTACCTGGTTCAGGAAAATTTAATCTCTATACGGAAGATGCTTCAGGGTGATTCCTGACACAAGTGTCGCTACGAGTGTTCTACGTAACATCCTCTAAAGTGTCCCGAGCTCTCGTGTAAAATTAACATGTCCTCTTATGCAAAGACCGAATACCATGGTGATGTGGGATTTTCCACGTGTGAGGGCAATTAACTCCACGACCTATTTTATTAGATCGTGTATTTCAACTTCTCAGTTTGAACACAAGAGTAATGTTTATGAATTCAGTAATTTTGTACATTAGAAAAGACTGAAAAGAAAAAAAAAAGGAAAAAGACTTAGAAATATATAGTGTCATCTTTACCTATGGAGTCTAGGTTAATAAAGGTTTCCAGTATCACATTCTTGTACAGGTTCTTCTGCGTGACAGACAGCAAATTCCACTCTTTCTGAGTGAAAACCACAACGAGATCCTCAAGGAGAAATGTTTCCTGAAACACCCAACACATTCTCGATCAACCAGGGACAAGATTTACTACATACAGAAACATGCAACTAATAAACACTGACCACCTCAAAGATTAAAAAAAAACAAACAAACTCATGATGGTCCTGGGTATGAAACAAAAAAAAAAGCAGAAGAAAAAGAAGCAGGAAAATGACCATCTGTCCTTTTCCAACGTGACTTCTCTCCCATCACCCTTCCCTCTGTCCTTACAAACAGTACAGGTGGCGTGTTCTGTGATATCTTTTGTACTTTGTGATTTTTCTCTATTTTGAATATTGTGATAAAAACTGATTATAAAATAATTAAAAAAAATAGTTAACAGACTAATCTACATAATGAAAGTGAGATGAGACAGTTATTTCCTCACTTCTAAGAGATCACAAAGTCAGGAGCGCACCTGCTACAAAAAAGAAGATTCTGGGAGAGAATTAGAAATTCAACAAATGAATGTCTTTGAACTGGATCACTGGCCAAACATACTGAGAATACCAGAAACTGGCGTAAAAAAAAATTAATAAAAATACCCAGGCCGGCATGGCAAATAGTGTTATCGTCTATAGTCTAGACATGAGAACTCGGTAAAACTGTGTTCTACACTTTTAGAATATTAACAGGAGGGTTCAATTCTTGCAAAAAGGAACCAAGTTTGGAAAACTAGAGGCTCAGCACAGAGAGGAGAAGACTCGGAGAGACAGAAGGACACATTTTTAAAGACAGGGCAGGAAAGCACATGTTTTGGTTCCCTTTTCCATGGTAGCATCCTGAGGTAGGGAGACCTCAACGGCATATAAAGCAACACAGTAATGAAATGAAATGAAATGAGAGGCAGCATGGTTACCAGAATGAAAGTAAGAAAAGGCACAGATTTTAAATTTACTTGGCTTCAAGTTACAAGGAGAGACATTTAACTTCATGACGGACAATTAAATTGAAGGATATTCATATGGTAAATAAAATACATACAGTGACTTAACTAATATTAGTAAATAGATACTTACATAAAAGTAAAAACACATGACATGCATGAATTAGAACATTTAACATGAAACTAGCAATGCTGTAAATGCAATCTACAAAGAAAATGCTATCTTTATTTTTAAATTTTTTTATTTTACTTCATGTGTGTACCATCAAATCAGATCTGACTGATATAGGAGGAGATTGTTCCTCCTTCTCCAGCAGAGCATCTGGTGGATTTGAACCGTGTACTTCTGAGATTGCAGCGCAGCTTCTTGCCACTAGGCCACCAGATCTCGCCATGAAATGCTCTCTTGATCCAGGGCTCAATATCATTTTTTCAAGAAATGCCCAAAGTAATCAACCAACTTAATACGGCAAAGAAAGAGATCAAAAACAACATACTATCAACAGTGAATAAAGTAGATTGATGGGTCAGTTCTCAATAGAGAACTCAACACCACCTGAGATCAAATAAAACACTCAAATAAGACAAGGCTTCCTCAGTACAAAGTCACGTCCCCGTTTTCACATCAATTACGCCTCCTGTCCAAGGAGCAGGAAATTAGGATACTTTCAGTTTCTCATTCTTTTGCTCACTCCCCTGCTCCCTCTTCTCCTGACCGAGGAATCACACTTTCTCCCCAATGCCACCATCTGTGTGTGTCAAAGACGTCTAGAACTCACCATTTCCTTGCTTCACGTCTGCAAGGTTGAAGAGAAGGCTGTGGCCAGTGCCAAGAAGACACTTCAGGACAGGGAGGCAGATGAGTAACACTGGATCCTTGGGCTTCACAGTCGTGAGAATTTTTCCATGACATTTATACAGGTACACGACGGAATCTCTGGATCCCAATCTGCCTGGACTGAAGGAGTTTTCCCTGGATAACACTTGGGATCTACAAGAGACGGCGGAGAGGAAGCAGTGTAAGCAGGAAGATACAGGCTTGTACTCATAATCCAAAAAAATTTTGAAAGACAGATGGCTGAATCTTTGCACAAATGTAACTGATGTTACGTTGAAGGAAGTTAAAGCAGAAGGTGAGAAGCAGCCTTTGTCATCTTTAGAAAGAGCTTAGAAAAAGGGAGATGTGATTCCTGTTCCAGTTGGGTCACGATGCGATTCCATCTCACTGAAAACCATGACAATCTGAAGAGATGTTTGAAAAGTTAGAATAACCCCCTTCAGATGAAGGTGATACTGAATCTGATAGAAAGAGGATGAATTTCCTCTGCCTCCTAAGCAATATCATCAAGGAGGAAAGTCTTTATGAAAAATAATGTAAATGAGTTTTAGAA